GTTTGGTTTCTCCAATGTAACTGCTACCACAGAGGCAACTTAGTTTGTAGACGCCACTCACTGGCATTGACTATATATCTTGTTTTCTCCACAGGGAATGGATTATTTGCTCCGCTGCAAGTCTCCAATCACCACTCTCCCATTGACATATTTCGTTGCTTAATAGAATAGACTAAAGCATCTATTAAAATATCATCATCATCATCACGATCAATGGGAAGATAGCACGTATGTGTCCACTGCACATTTCGTCATTGTTTCCACTTTCCTCTGTATTGTACCAATAAGGTCAAGAAGTGCACATCATTCTATCATCGATCTATTTTGTCGTCAGGCCATTCTCTGTTCGGCCTTGCTCTTTTTCCGTTTCCTTCGATTTTTCCGAACAACATACTTTACATGTTGTTGTGTCTAAATAGTGTCAGTTTGCTTCTCATCACTGGTTACATCAGGTATTCTGCTATGTGCAACTTGTTTTATTACTTATACGTTGGTCAATCTTTGGGTCCAGTATAGATGCAGTATACTTCTGTAGCAATACATTTAGAATGCCAAATATCATATACCTGTCAGTCTTTTTCAATGTCCAAGTCTCCCAGACATCAAGTTCAAGTTAATTTATTAGGTATAGCCCTGTGAGTCATTCGGCTCTTGAATCGGGTGCAACCGCAACAAACAAAAAACATGAACGAAAAACATCTTAAAGTGAATATGTGACTGAGCGCAAACAGAAAATCCATACACATCTGTACTGAACACGCATGTTATTAAAATTAACCTCATGGTGGGACCCTGGGGTCCCGAATTAACGGAAGTAAAAAGCGTCATTAATTAATAATTCTTTACGATTCCGTCCCACCGCGCACATAAACGCCGTGACCCACCTGGCACGATCGTTCTGTTGTCATGTCGTCAACGCGCAGCGAGGACGAATGCGCATTTGAAACAAAAACTTTTTAACTTTTATTAGCGCATCGTGTAGAGCTCGTGGAGAGGAATAGATTGCCGTATCGTTCGCCTTCAACAGACATAAAATGACGTCGCAACGCAGTTTATGCGAGAGCCGGGGGTTTATGGCACCCCGGGTTCCCACCATAAGGTTAAAATATGCACGTCAATATCAAATCTAATCACGGCGGTGCGGTGGCGCCACCTGGTGGATGTAGCGAAGCATTGCACTTTATTCAAACCAAAAAATCGGCAGTTGATTTTGAACGAAAGCATGATTCCAATAACAAGGCTGCTTGTATGTCTGTCTATAGTTTTCTGGTTAAATTTGTGTTGCTATTTCTTTTATACCTGATGAAGATTGCTTGTGTTGCAATCGAAACGTCGTAGTATGCTATTATTTAATTTATTATTTTATCTTTATACGTGACTTTACCGTAAGAACCAAAGAATAATTCCTGCAGTCACGAAAGCTCCGAAATTGAGATTGAAGGCTGGAGGAGGTTTGAACACACATTTAATAAATGTTTGCTCTTTAATTGGAGGAGCACAGCACTGCACCACTCGCACTGCACCAGGGTGCCGCGGTGGTGAGATGTTAACTCCCTCACCTGATATGGAGGAGGTCCGTGGGTTCGATCCCGATCCCGATCCCGACGCCTGCATATTTGGAGTTCGCATGTTCTCCACGTGGTCGCATAGATTTTTCTCCGGGTCCTCCGATTTTTCGAAGCACACTTAGAAACATGCGTTCAGAGTATTTGGTTACAATCAATTTCCACATGATAAGCTACTTCGTTGAGCTACATTTGTGGCCAGGTCGCTTCTGAAATCGAGCTGTATAGCTCAGCGAGCCCTAGTTGGTAAAAAAACAAGTTTTTAGTTTATAGCGCTCTGAACGCGGTTTGCAATAAGTTAAATGCAAATTCACGGTCGACATCAATGGCGAGTTGATATCACTAACCTACATTAACCAGCGTGGTGAAGTATGGTCAAACACGGTGGAGGCAGGCCGTCGTCCATAAAATAAAAAGGGGCGTGAATCTCTTTTGCTATTAATCGTGAATCCCATGAGGATGTAATGTTAAATCCATTCAATAGTTAATGTTTTAATTAATTCGCTCATGGGGTCCAACCGTTTGTATTGAGTGCTCTTGCCAACAACATCTGTTAATATAGTGTCATCTTTTGAACAAGATTTACTTTGTTGATGAGATCCTGAATTTCAAGTTTCAATTCTGGAGCCTTAAGCTATGCCATCCAAGTTTAAGAGGCCAAGTGTCTCTACATTTTTGTCATACCAGAATAAAAATAACCATAGGAGAGGTTTTTTTTCTCATTTATTTTATTTTTACAACTGATAATGTAAAATTGAAGCTTCATATTACATATGTTTTCGAATTTCGGGGACCCTCAATGTTAGGCATTTTGCAGTAACCTAGCTTATGCCTGAATCGGGACCTGCAGAGTTTCCTTGCTTAAACAAATGATACTGGATAACATTGGTAGGGAAAGTCAGGACGCAGATGGACTAAAGAAGATGTGTCTGTATTTATATTTGGAGATTTTTTTTGAATTATGCTAACATGCGAACTCCAAATATGCAGGACAGCCTAATTTGGTCTTATGGCTCGTTTTCAGAAAGGTCCTGCAAATTCTCTACAGTAGGGGGTGATGTTCCCAGGCGTAATCCAAAACTAATAATTTGTAGGTATTTTTTCAGCATTGGGATGTGGTCTATACCAGTTTGGCCAATGCGTATTTGTTTTAGCTATGGGAGAAAAAATGGAAAATGTACAGAAAACCCACGCCTGCAAGTAAACATAACTATCCCATATTTTACTGTACTGCATTCCCTTAGCAAACCGGGGTATGGCTTCTCGTAAACGCCCACGTGAAGAGAGTTTAACAAACACCATCTGTGCATTATTCACCAACCCTAGCTGTTGTCTCGACAGTGCTGAATTACTCATCCAGATCGATGGCATTCAAGTCGTGTTCATACATTGCAACATTTCCCTCGCGGCGTTCAGTTGGTGCTCATAGTGTTTCAAACGCATTAATAATAGCCTCGTTGGACACTGGGACATTGTACCAGATCTAGTATGAGTACCATTGATCAACGTTTTTTGTTATTTTAATTTTAAATAGTATATATCAGAGGTGGGACAAAGTCATTGTTATGCAAGTCCAAGTCGAGTCTGAAGTCATCAAATTCATGACTCGAGTCTGACTCGAGTCCAAGTCACATGACTCGAGTCCACACCTCAGAGGTGGGACAAAGTCATTGTTATGCAAGTCCAAGTCGAGTCTGAAGTCATCAAATTCATGACTCGAGTCTGACTCGAGTCCAAGTCACATGACTCGAGTCCACACCTCTGGTATATATGTTATTTGTCTCTGAACTGTAATTCTGAAATGTTATTGTTCGTTTTAATGTTAGGGTTGAAACACTTATTCTGTGCTGCTCTCCAGTTGCCTGGGTAAACATTGGGCGAGGTGTTGCCCAATTCTAGATGGCTTGCTCAGAAACAGACAGACAGTAACGTGCCTCAGCATATCCACCACCATCGCCTGGCTAAATTATTAAGACAATTTTATTGGACTGCGCCATTATAACTATTTGTGTTATTTAAAGATACAAGCACACTATTAATTCAATACAAAAAAATTAGGATAACGATGGTGATAATTATCACGATGACGTCGTTTCCCGGAGAGAATAACTTTCGTTTCATTTCACAGACGTGTGTATAACCACAAGATTTCCAATTTGCTCGAGTTGTTTTTTGTTTTGTCCTTCTGTAATAAAGACATTGCCTCCTTCCTCATTATTCGTCGCTGCCGCAATTACAATCGCTCAAAAGCCACGGGTTCATATCACCCGTCACAATAAGCGACAAGTTGTGGAGCCCTTGAACCTCCTGACCATGTCCTGTGCTAAACCATGCACTTTTACGTGTTAATGTCGGCGGGGCAGGCGTCTCCCAGTAGGTGCACCTCCAATATATCAACATCACAACACACTTATACGTGCAAACGCGTTTGTGCAAATGCAGATACGCACATAAAGGAACTGTCATCTCGAAGTCCCTTTGTTGGCTACGCAGGGGCAGGTTCAATGTGGAATTCACGCGATATTGTTCATGGCTCTCTTTCTGTCACTTGGTTAATGTTAAGACTTCCATTCCCCACACCTTGGACGAATATTTGTAGGCCAAGTCACTCCAAGTTGGAGACCTGACTGTGTTTTCCTAATGTACGAGGTTCAATGTTGATCGAATACTTTGCGGTACCCAGCAGAAGGATGTAAATGGGTCTTGACTGGGCCTTGCCAGGACTTATACAACTTCGGAGAAGCATGTGGAGGGACCAGGGGGCAGTGAAGCCATGACGTGTCCCCGTGGTGAAAGGTCGGCGCAACAGCTGTTGCTGCCCAACTTTTTTCATTTTGCAATTGTAAGTGCGACGAGTCTGGCATTGATGGTATCATAGGCCTTGACCAGTTCAATAAAGCAGAGATGGAGGTCCTGTCGGAATTTCATACATATCTGCTGTAGCAAATGGACAGACAATATGGCGTTTGTGCAGGACCACCCTGGCGTGAAACTACAGTGGGGATCCGCAAGGCTCTCCTCAGCGTGCCTGGTTCGGCGATGCTGAATACTCATTGCCAGGACCTTTCTTAGCACACTGAGATGCCCTTGTAGTTGTCCTCGTGAAGATGAGGACCACCAGGGCATCATTCCAATCCTGCAGAATCTATCGCATGGTCCAGACTATTGTAATTATGTTATATAGGTCAGTTTGCACACAAAGGCCACCCTCCCTCAGCAATTTGCTGGCACTGCAACCCCAGCAGGTTCACATCTACCTTGCCATATCATATTTTCTGGGGTGAGGGATTTCCCCTCCCCCAAGAACTCACATACATGCTCAGCAAACCTGCAAAATTGCAAACGTGAAAAAATGAGGTCCGCACATACCTGGCTACACACCTGTATACCCCCACAGAACCACTCCCCAAATGCCTCACCTGCCTGTCATTACACTTTTACTTTGTAAATCTCTCTCTCCCTCCTCTCTTTATGGCCAGGTGTCTCTCTTTACTACAAGTCTACCGTTGTTTCTCTCTTCCCTGTGTCTCTATCCCCCCGTGATTCTCTCTCAGTGTTTCTCTCAGAATCGGAGACATATCCCCATTACAAGTCTCCGCTCCCGTCGTTCACGTCAGGGGCAACCAAAAGAGGTGAGACACACGAGGCGATCCAGTAGAGGCACAGAGGCACGAAGAGATGCAGGGACACACGGAGATCAGCATGGAATGACTGTGTAGGCATTAATTCTAGATTTGAAGCTTTCGTGACTGCAATGATTCATACTCTTAGGTTTTTTGTTAAAGTCACGTAGGTAAAAAATAAATAATAGGCATTACTGTTGCACTGTAGGAATACCGTGACAATGTCGGGAATGGATGACGCAGCCTCCAGGGTGGTTCTTGTTTGATCTCATGGCGAGTGCCATGTAAGATTTTGTTCACACGGAAATTTTATTTCGTAATTGAAAAGTGTCCATAGTCAATTTCGCTAAACGCGATATTTCGAAAAACTGAACGTTCATAAATCGAGGGATACTTGTATTGGGTGAGGACAGAGACGCAGAAATACACGGGGAGGCACGGAGAGACACGAGGGTACAAGGACAGGCAGGAATATGCGTATAAAAGGACACGGAGATGCAGTTATGCGGAGACACAAGGACATGTAGAAGACACCGGGTAATGCAGGGAGGTGCGTGTGAATGTTTATTTGTTGTGTTTAAATATGGAGAGCGGTAGTGGAGAGGTTAGTGCGCTAAACTACGAATCTGGCGACCCGAGTTCGATTCCCACTCATAGCCACCAACACCAGTGACGAGTATCTGGCCTGCGCTTGGGAATCCCCTACGTTGTCTCAGCACAAAATGAGTAACTGGTGTGATCTAGATTTGAAGTTTTCGTGACTGCAGGGATCCTAACTTTTTGGTTCTTTCGGTAAAGTCACATAAGTATAAAATAAAATAAACTAAATCACGACGTTTCGGGCGCAACACAAGCATCCGTCATCAGGTGGGACAACCACAGCAGCACTCCCCTCCCCCTATCCCACCCCCCTCTCTATCTGTCCCCCCTCTCTTACCTATATAGCCTCTTGTTACAGCAGCCATTTTGCCCACTTCAGCAATTGTTTCTTTGCTGTGGTTGTCCCACCTGATGACAGACGCTTGTGTTGCGCCCAAAACGTCGTAATTTATACCTACGTGACTTTACCGAAAGAATCAAATAACTTGTGTGATGTGTAAACATTGTCACTCGGCAAAAGCGACCGGGCATGGCACTGGGCGACCACCCTCTCGTGTTTCTAGCCAGCCTTCATAGGCACTGCTCGCAAACAGCAATTGTTGCCCTGCCAGTCTGTTAAGGCTATACGGGGGGCTATTTGGCTATGATCTTGGAGCCCATTCCAGCCTTGTGTAGTTCTACAATCTTGTCCCTGACATCCTTGGAGAGCTCTTTGGTCTTGGCCATGGTGGAGAGGCCATAGGCCAACGAGTCAGATATCTGACCCCCATGAGGAGGTACTTGTGCCTTTTCCAGGAGACCGTGAAGGGACCCAAAATGTCCAAGGCAACCAATTAATTCACCCATGACACAACAAGAGACAGGAAAGGAATCTGCGGTCGCGTGGCAGGAGATTTCCAGTGCGCACAATCGACACAACTTTTAATCAGGAGGAGGACATCACTCTCCATTTTGGGCCAGTAAAAGTCCTTTTCATCATTTATGCACACCCAAATGCATTCACTTTTCGTGTACAGCCTTTGTAAGTTTGCCCCTTATGACCCTGGGTACGATCAGAGCATATCGCTGGGACTCCCCCTCCCACCGCATGAGGAGCACGATGGAAGGGCGACCCACAGGACCCGGGGCCCAAGACGCGCGCCGGCGCAACATCAACAACGAAGCATCATCAAACTGCAGCTCATGTCTCGTGATCGAGATTTAGAATAGAATCACATGGTGACTGAGTGCCCGCATCCCACGTTGTCCCTGCTGCCATGAGCACCATGGGCACCTCCCCTTGTGGGGGCTTTATCTCGACGCGCCTGAAGTACACGTGCACGCGGCATGGGGTGGCAGCCGGGACAAGGCATCAGCGTTGACGTGCCGGGTGCCCTTCCTGTGCACCACCGTGAACGAGAATCCCTGAAGGATCTAGAGCCATCAGGACAACTGGCCAGAAAGCTGGTCAATGTGCTGGGAATACGAGAAGGCCGCATGGTCCGTGCGAACTACAAAGTCCCATCTGTACAAATAAGGATGATAGAGCTGAATAAAGTGGACCATGGCCAGTAGCTCCCTGTGCGTGACGCAATAGCGCTGCTCGGCAGGAGACAGGACTTGGCTGCCGTAAGCAACCACTCTCTCCGTTCCCTTGAAAAGCTGGGATAGGACTGCCCCGATGCCTGTGTCGCTGGCATTGGCTTCCAAAACGAAGGGTTTAGTGAAATCGGGGTACGCGAGTGGGGGGAGCATGTGCACGTACAGAGTGGAGAGCAAGGAAGGAATCCTCTTCAGCCCTATCCCACCGAAATATCTGGCCCTTGGCCGTAATGCTGTGGAGCGGTTTAGCAATAGTGCCAAAATCTTTAATGAACCGCCAGTAGTAAGAAGCGAATCCAATGAAACTGAGGACATCTGCTACCGATTTAGGCGCCTGCCACGTACGCACACAACGTCTTTTCTGGATCCATGGTGACACTGGCCACACTAACTACATGCCCTAAGTACTTAACCAACGTCTGAGGTAAATCTTAAACAACTACGCTGGTTTGGTCGTCTGCGTGCGTATTTGGACGTTAATTGATTTACGGACCCGCCCAAACAGCTCGCTCTGATTCGATGAAAATAAAACAGCCGGCAAAAAGCCACAGCTCACTTTGATTCGATGAAAATAAATAATTAACACGCCCGGAAGAGAGCGATAGCATAGGTCTGGCAAGGTCTGCGCTGCAGTGCTGCAGTGCACTGTGGGCGCAGACCCTGTGCTGTGTGAGTGTGGTGTGTATACAAGTGTGCGAATGGTAGTTACGCTAATATTACGTTTATTTATGTAAAAAATGGGTGCTGCGTGCTGCGATTAGTGGAGTCCCCAAACAACTTTACCTTACGAGTAGGCAGGGGTCGCTATACAGTAAGTCTTAGCAGACTGAACTGGCAGCTTCACCTGCCGGGACCACGGCCAGTTGCGTAGCGCACCCCTACAGTTTCGCCCATGGGTCAATACCCCCATGGGGTAACCCAGCTGACTGTTTGATGGGTATGTAATAATCCTCCCGGAGACGGCTTCGGAATCAGTCCTTTATTTCCACTTTCAATACACTTGCTCACTCACTCTCCGTTGCTGGCAGACAACGGAGAGAGGACAGACTACGCACTGAGTCCTCACCGCGCACGTGGCAACCCCAGCCCCCGTCCGCGCGTGACCCTGCTCCTGTTAGTTTCCGTCTGCTCTCGATCGTTCTCTCTCACTCGCTCTTAATACCTTCGTCACGTGGTTCCCCCAGCCAATCGTTCATCGACAGCTTTGACCATTCTCGATGGTTCCCTGTCAATCCCGGGACCACGCCCCTCATCCGGCTCCCCATTAGCTGGGACCCCGAATGGCTGGGCCAATCACTCCTGATGACCTGTCGTGATGACGCATGGGCCATGGTCCCTATCTCAACCCTTATTGGCTACAAGCAGGACCGGCAAGCCAATCCCCACGTGAACCATCTATGGCTGTTATTACATCACCCCCCCCCCCCCACCGGTGAAAAAATTTAGCCGTCTCGGCTGGGAAAAGGGTGAAGAACCAATTCCGCGACATCTTATTAGGGCACCAAGGTGCGTTTAACGATTCGAGGGTGAACCGGCGTTCCTGCGCCTAACAACACGTAAAACAGTCACCCATAATAATTATAAGAAAATCACACCATACATTAGGGCGCCCCTGCAGCGCGTTAACGATAGGGAATTAGCGAATGATCGAACGTTAACGAAACGGAAAAGATTTCGACCGCGTACGCGACGCGGGACCCTCTCCGCCCCCAGCGCATGGTCGCTTCGCTTCCGGATGAACAGGAGGTGGCAGGCTGGAAGAAGTAGGTTGTTGGTGCATGGTCACGTCCAGGGCGGGCCCCGTTGGAGGGGGGGCAGTGGGGGCTTCCTCAGCCCTCAGAACCTGTTCATCTGCAGGAGGCACAACACAGTCCCCCTTGGGATCAACGGGCGTGTCAAGCGGCGCAGTCGGCCCAGCAGAACCCGGCAGGTCAGCTATTGGGGATGAAGGACCGACACGCGCGTCAACATAGGGTTTAAGTCGCGAGGAATGAACATACCACCGACATTTGCCGTATTGAACGCGGATACTTTGCGAGTTTCGAACATCTACGAGCGTCACAGGCCCCCGCCATGGCCTGTGCAATTTAGGGGATGTGCCCGCTGGTACCTGGGGGCAGTGGAGCCACCCCAGGTCTCCCACTGACCAAGGCATGCGAGTATGCGATCGACGCGCGTACCGTTCGTTCCTTGCCTGAGCACGGGCCGTCGCACACCGGGCAGCCTCTCGCGCTTCCGTTACTCGCTCAAGCAAGTCACGCACGTGGTCAGGCAGGGAGCGGGATGGTTGTTTACTCGGCGTACCCAGTTGCACATCGATGGGTGGAACATTTTCACGGCCATACATCAAAAAAAACGGCGAGTATCCCGTGGACATGTGCGGAACCATGCATTATGCCGCCAAGACGCCTGGTATGTGCAAGTCCCAATCGGTTTGCTTTTCACTGACCGTGTGACAAAGCATAGCGGAAAGGGTACGGTTGAATCGTTCCACCATACCATCTGTTTGTGGATGATATGGGGAGGTGCGAACCTTCTTTGTACCTAGCGCGTCGCAAACTTCCCTAAGCAATTTAGAGGAGAAATTCCGACCTTGATCTGTGAGCAGCCTTTCAGGTGCCCCCTTGTCCATGACATACCCGTTCAGGAAAGCGTCGGTGATGGACGCTGCCGTTTGGTCGGGTAGAGGCCAGGCCATCGGCCATCGAGAAAAATATTCCACCCCGACCAGAAGGTATTTATTGCCCCTAGCCGACGGGGGAAACGGCCCCAGAATGTCGAGAGCCACCAATTCGTTGATCCGAGACACTTCAATGGAACGCAACGGT